AAGCCAACGTAGTGATCTTTAGAAATTCATACTTATCATAGAAAATTGTTCAGTCTTTAGAAAAAAACAAAGTTCTTTATGAACAATGATTTAACAAAAAGTCCGAAGTGTTAACAATCGGTGTATTTCAACTTTTGTGATGGTAGGCACTATTTGCATGCAATTTGAAATAGATAAATAAATAAATAAAGTTTATCGGTGATAATCCTCGGCGTGTATTAGTTAAATTAACTCACTGATAACTATCATCTAGAGCTGAAGTTTTAATGATTAGCTTGTGCCCAGCTAGCGTAACTGGTCGCACGCTGGAGAGAGATTTCAATAACCATGAAAAGGATGTACTTTAATTAGCATCTTCATTGTTGTGATACAGTATCATCGCAAAAAAAAAAAAGAAAGTGATGAATTGTGATGCACATCGAAGGACTTCTCATAAGACTTCTTGGTAATAGTTACATTGACCTTTGTAATATAAAAAAAACAAACTAGATGCATCCTTAAAGTAACTGGACACACCCTACGTGGGTTAGGAAGTTGTTCTAGTTTCGTGAACATTCGCGTTTTGTTTGCCGTGTGTTCTTTCAATATATCGACGACTGACTGGACTACACTGTGTTTATCTACCTGCGCGTGCACATCAAGAGAGATCTATCGCTTTATTGTGTGAATAATTTCTACTTTGTGTTCGTAAGTTTTAGGTAAGAAGACTTTAGCTTTTGTTTGTATTGTATAACATGGGGTATTGCGGAAGTGAACAGAGCTGTAAGACTGTAACAGTCCCACCCTTGAACTCCTCGTCGCATTGGGGTCAGTGAACTTCAAGAACTCAAGATTTCGGTTCCTGCTGAGCAGTTAATATAAACTTTAAAAAGTTTGGACCAGATGAATTAATTGAAATAAATCAAGGTTCGTTCTCAAGTGTAGCGTACAATAGCAAACCGTTCATAATCTGCCGTTACAGATCCTATATCAGTCATCAGTATTCCCCTTTAAATCCGCCATTAAAGATCGTATATCAATCATCAGTATTCCCCTTTAAATCTGCCGTTAAATATCGTATATCAATCATCAGTATTCCCCTTTAAATCCGCCGTTAAAGATCGTATATCAATCATCAGTATTCCCCTTTAAATC